CTGTAGAAAAATTTGTTCTACATGTCTAGTCTATGTGTTCTCTGGTCAGTGGTTTAACAAATATTCCTTTATGATAATGTAAAATTTTGCTGCAATCAGAATATAAAACCTGCTGCACTCAAAATCATAAACATTTGTTTTAATATCGGAAACTTATTTTTGTTGCAAAAAATCACGAATAACAATTAATATGAAGCTCTGAAATTAAAGCTTTGACTTGCGCATAGCAAAATCAATGATGGCCTGTATGCATTCATTGTCGTAGAACCGTTTTAGCAGTGCTTCGCATTCTGCATCATTGGCTCGAAGAAGACTTTCCCGCGAGGACAACTGAATCAAGCGCTTACATTCACGCATCGAGTTGGGCGGCAGCTCGGCATATTCGCGAATTTTTGGCCACACCACAGAATCCAATTCATTTAACCTAAAGATGCGCGACACGAGATTAAAATGGTATGCCTCCTGGGCACTCAATTTTTCGTTAAGCACCAGCATCTCTGTGGCCTTCGAACGGCCCATGATTAATGGAAAGGTGAAGCTGGAGCAGGCCTCTGGCACCAGACCCAATTTACTGAAGGGTGTCGCGAAATAGGCCTGCACAAGAGAGTTGCTGTAGCATACTTTAATTTGAACAAACTGTGGCTTACCTCTTCGGCGCACCAAGCCACATCGCTGAGTCCCACGATGGTGCAGCCGATTCCAATGGCCGGGCCGTTGACCAGTGTGATAATAATCTTGGTGCAATTGAGGAAGCTGGAGACCATGGATTTGAATATATCGTTGGTCTCTTTAAGATAGGCGTCCATGTCGCTCATTTCGGATTTCTGGGACAAATCGTTGCCAGCCGTAAAGAAGCTTCCTACACCGGTAATCACGACGATTGAAATGGAGTCATCCTGATTAACGGTGCCCAGGACACGGCCTAGCTCCTTGTATCCATTGTAATTGATGCAATTCTTCTTACGAGGATTGTTGAATTTTATGACCAGAATTTTGTCCTCTTTCTGGACAAGCAATTGCTTAAACCCCTCATAAGACATTTTGGTATGAGTTTATAAAGTTCGTAGTATACAAATCCACTGTAATAAGTGAATTATCACGATTATTAAGTAATTAAATTGAATTCTTTGATAATTGTATGACAGCTTGATTCAAATACCTTCAGTATTTCAGTACTTTCTCATTGTGATCGCAGCGTAGAGCGAAGTCCACATTTATGAATACAATCTTCGTTCTTTTGTGCCGCGTCCAATTACAATGGTATACAAAGTAAATTAGGTAATCTTAGTTGAATGATGTGAACTAAGAGCAAAAGTGCGTCGACTGACGTCAAATTGTTGAAATTCGCGGTCCGGCAACACCAGAGGAATATGAATTTTATAACGTGTACCGGCTTACAGTTAATCGATTAGCTAATGTAACCACTGTGATGTCGTGTGACGTCACAGCTTAGCCTCAAATAACTTATGTTTCTCAGTATGGCAACGCCATGAAAGAGGAATTGTATGATTTTGAAACGTTTTTACTAGCCTTTACCGCGCTTTCGTTCAGTTTTTTTTTTACAAATTTTAGTTTAAACAAAATCTACTCGCTAATTTCTTCGATAACGGGCACATTCTGTAGCTCAGAGCATTTGCGCTTCCATACTGCGATCTGTTCTCTCAGCACCTTCTCCTTGGCCGCAGCGCGCGTCAGCAGAACTTTTGCCTTTTGCAGCAGTTGTGTCTTCTTCATGAGCTGTTCCTTAATGTACTTTAGTTCCTCATCCTAGATATAAGAATATTAATTAATCGGTAGTGCTCTTCTGTTTAGTTTTCTACTCTACCTTTCCATCAGTGCTGCGCTGTCCAACCTCTTGCTGCAGTGCACTGATTTTCTCCAAAGCATCCGCATGCATCTGCTGGAGCCGAGCCAGTTCCGCGGATGCAGACAGTGAGTCAGTGGAACCACGCGACTCCATGGAGGTGCGGCCATCTTTGAGGAACTTGTTCTCTGAACGCAGCTTTTCCACCAAGTTACGCAGCGAAAGAATTGTATGTTCAGCGGACTGACCGTGATTAGTGTTGACCTTCAATCCGCTGCATTTGCACAAGTCTCGACGTGACTCGTTGCGCGCCATTTCCTCCTTGAGTGCAAGGATATAGCTATAAGAGTAATTGGCTTAGTCGGTGGATTTTGAGAAGGAGGATTAGAACATCATTAGACATCACTTACTCTTCCAGATGTTTGATGCGCTTTTGTAAGCGATCGCTTCTATCGCCTTGTCGCAACAGATCCGAATCCAGCTGCAATTGTAAATTGCGCGCTTCGAGGCGAATGTTTTGCGCCTCGACCGCCTGGAAGCGTTCCTGCAGCTTCTCCAGTTCGGTTGTCAACGCATTGCTGCCACGCCCCTCCAGTTCCATGGCAATGATCTTCCGCTGCTGCATCTCGATCCGAGCCTTGAGGGCCTCTATCAATTCCGTTTGTCCTTGCTCATAGAAGCTGTGGTGTGTGGAGTTCGGGTGGGATTGGTTGTGAGCCGGCGAGCTGCACTCACTGCTGGGCCCTGTGTACGTTTCTGGACTCTCCGACGGCGAGGGTGTGAACTTTGCGGCGCCCACATGATGCAGATTTGGGCAGGACGGAGCGCGACAACACTTCAAAGCGTTATGACCGCCTGCACCAGTTGCTGTGGTCGCCGCAGTGGCTCCCCCTGCTCCCGCCTTGCCTACCTTCGACTCGAGCAAATGCTTGTCTTTCTCGAGTCGAGCGATTGTCGTGCGTGCCGCCTGGAGCAGTGTGCGCGTCTTGTCCAGCGCCAGCTCCGTCTCCTCCAGCTTGCTTTTGAACTTGTCGGCCTGTTGCTGCCATCGCTTCTGCTTCTCCCAGAGACCCACCTCGTTAGCGCTGCGCGTGCGCTTGGCCTCCAGAAGCGTCTGCTGGCGCTGCAGCTGCGCCCGCGACTCATCCAGCTCCAGCTCGAGCTGCTGAATCCGCTTCTGCAGATTCTCGTTTTTCACGCGAGCATTCAGTTCCGTCTTGATTGACACCACCGGACGCTTGAGCAGCTGCTGGCGAAGCGACTGACTCAAGTCGCGCGCCTGCTTCTCGCGCTGCGTGACATTGGCCAGCTGGCGACGCAGAGCCTCCATTTGGGTGTGGTAGATCTTGTTGGTGGCCTCGGTGCGATTCAGGTCGGCGGCTAGCTTAGCAATCTGCTCAGCCGAATAGTTGGAAGTGTCGTTAATGTAGCGCTGCTGGTCATCCTGTTGGAGAGGGATAAAAGCGTTAAGTGAATCACCACATTTGAAGTATCCACAATAATACAAACATGGAAGTTTTTCAGGGTGTCCATGAGGTCACGAATGTGTTTGTCCTTTTCCTCTAGGAAGACGCGCATTTGCTCCAGCTCGGGACTGTTGCTGCTATCCATACACTTCTCCCGATCCTGGCAGAGCTTCAGTCTGTTGAGTAATTTATGATTAGATTTAAATATCTTTGTATATTTTCCTTGATAAGCTTACTTCTCCCTCAGTATCTCCACCTCCTCCTCACGCGTCACCAGATTGTGCTCGTAGTAGCTCAGTTTGTCCTTGAGCTCCTTGATTTGCTTGTGCAGTGTGGGCAGTTCTTTCAGCTCTTCGGTGTCCTGTTTCTCCCGCTCTCCGGCCGCTTCGTCGCCAACTCCCGCATCTACGTCCTCCTCTGAATGTTCCTGTTGGTGGGTGCCTCTATCCACGGAGCTGCGCGCAAACATTTCCTCAATTCTCTCATCCGTCAGATCAAGCGAAGTCTCATTTGCCTGAACATTGGCATGGGCTGGCGGCTTGTGCAGCTCCAATTTGGCCTTCAGCTCCAGGACTTCCAGATCCTTGGTCTTAATGTTGAAATTCAAATTTGTAACCGTGGCCTTGAGCGTCTCATTCTCGGCCGTTAGCTTCGTGGCCAGCTGCTGACCTTGTTCCCTTTCCGTTTGCAGCAGATCCTGGTACTTTTGAATGGACTGATCTTTCTCCATCAGCAAAGTGTGGAACGACAGAATGGTCTTCTCCACGATGCCGCTGTGCTGACTATCCGACTCTCTGCGGCAGTTGGTCGACTCCAGCTGCTGGCCCAGCTGCTCCACGCGTTTGTTTGCTGCCAGTAGCCTGCGGAAAGGGGTAAGTATCAAATCGAAAATCGGATCCTCTATTATGCATTTCTTACTCTGCCCGCACTTGCAGCAGCTCCTCATCCTGCGCCGTTTGCACGGCTTGATGCTGCTGCTGTTGCTTCTGGCGCGGCCTGCAGCCATTGGTTTGAACAGCTGTCTCCAGCAGCTGCTTTGTGGTGCGTTCGGTCTGGGTTGTGGTGTCGTGGTTCGATAGCCGCCTCTTCGGCGACCCAATGGGGGACGACTGTCTGTCGATGAGCTGCGCCGCTCGGCGCAAGGCGGGCACTGGTGGTGCCGCCTCCGTATTGGTGGCCACATCCACGAGAGTGGATGCCTCGCGCTCGCCCTTTGGCTCCGCAAACAGCGCCTCGATCGTCTGCCAATGCTCCGACTCTGCAGCATGCTGCAAGCGCAACTCACTCAACTCCTGTTGAAGCTCGGACTGCCTGGCCTGCAGACTCTCGCAGCGCTGCTCCAGCAGCCGGGACTGCGTCTCCGACTTGATGAGCTTGATCAACTGCTGTGAATTCTCCTCGTTGGGCGCCAGTTTCGCCTGCACCACTTGCATCACGTGCTCGACGAGCGCTGTGTTCTCCCCAGATTGCTCCACCTGCTGCTGCTCCATCAGTCGTTGATTTAGTTGTTGGTAAGAGAACACAAAATTGTTGAGGAAGATCAGGGGTGTAAATTTGGCGTATTTCTCCTTGAGTGAAAACAGCGAACGCTGCAGAAATCTGTAAGACAAGTAGCAAAAAAATTGAAGCCACATTAGGAACTCTTAACTCAGCAGGGACACCGGCATAGCAGCATAGCAGGTTTGTCTGCAACTAACTCGACTTACTTCTGTTTGATGTGGCTATTGTTTCGCTCCAGTTGGAAGTCCTGTTGCATCTGGCTGGCCAGACGTTCCGCTGCCTGCAGCTGGGTACTCAGATTATCCACGTCCTGCTGCAAACGCTTGCGCTCCAGGTCCAAGCGCGCAGTGTCTGCCTTGGCTGAATGAACATTGGAATGAGATGAGCTTAGATTTCGATTACTTATGCCAAGATTCACCTACCTATGTCCAAATCGCGTTGCATCTTGGCCAGCAACAGCTTGTCAGTGGAACTGCTCTGCAGATCCGCCACGAGATGACGCAGGCTGATATGATTATCGGTGATCTCGTTGAGCAGCTTCTGCTGCGATTGTATCTGGCCGTTGGCCACCTGCAGGAGGCCCTCGAGTTGTTTCTTCTCGCGCTGCAGCTCCGCCTGCTGGGTCGCCCACGTGTCTAGGGTGAGTCGCTGCTTCTCGAACTCCGCGGCCGTTATATAATCCAGCTGGTAATTCTCGTCGACGATGCCGTAATCCGCAGAGACTTCCTCAATCTTCAACTCGCCCATCAGTTGATCCGTGGCCTGCGCCAGCTGCATGCTGAGCGTGGCAATGCGCTGCTCTAGCTGGAGTCGCTCTTCCGCCGTGCAGAGGTGCGTGCGCTGCACTGTGGCCAGCTGATCGCTTTTGGCAGCCAGCTCCGTCTTGAGCTGCTCCAGTTGATTTTGCAGATTTGCCGAGTTCTCAATGTGGCGTAGCTCCTGTCGCTTCTGGGCCGTCAGCAGTTGATCGTAATCCTCGCGCATGTAGGCATAGGAGCTCTTCTGCTGCTGCAGCTGCTTCTCCAAGGCAATCAGCTGCTCGTGGAGCTCTTGGGTGTAGCGCATCAGCTCGTTGCCATCCGAGGCCAAGTGCAGGCGCAACTCATCATAATGCTTGCGAATGATTGTCAGCTCCACCAGTTCTGCTGTTCCAGGCCTGGGCTGCTCAGGCTCCGTCTCCGATTCCGCTTCTGCTTTCGCTTCCGGCTCCAGCTCCTGTTCAATGATGACGGGCAGCTGCAATCCCTCGGTTGCGTCAGTCGGTGTGGTTGGTCGCGTGGCCGAATCAATGCCCACGAAACTTGTCTGCTCCTCGTTCATATCCGACACATCCCGCATGCTCTGCACCGACGACAACTCGCCCGTTTCCGAATCACTGACATTGTTATGCAGGAGCTGGCACAGAGCCTCCTCGCGCGCTTTCAGCTCCTGCAACTGACTGTGCAGATGCGGAACACCGGCTCCGCTGGGCAGCGCCTCGATGAGACGCCGCAGCAGCTCGGAGTCTATAGTGATGTGCTCCGAGGTAGCTGCAACGAAATAACAGTTATTCAAAGTTATTCAACGGAATAAAACTCGACGTACCGTCGTATTCCCGCAGCTTCTCCAAAATCTCATACATGCCCATGCGCAGAGTCTCGTTCTCAGCGAGTACATCCTCGTATTTGGTCTGCAGCTCGGAGCTGGCAGCGCCGTCGCCTTGTCCGCGCCGTGGTGAGCTTTCCAGCGGAGCACTCGGGGGCAGTTCACCAACTTCACTGGGTTGATGCAAAGAGTCATCCATAGTCTGGGGCTGACCGTTCTGCAGCTCGAGCAGCTTGCGCCTGAAGATTGCGTGAGCTCCGTGAGTACTCGGATTAGGAATCAGTGATCTCTACAAACTCACCTCAGCTCACACTTGTCTAGCTTCAGCTGCAGACGCAGCTCCTCGGAAGTGCGCAGCTTCAGCGTTAGCCTCTCGATTTGCTTGTCCTTGTTGCGCTGCTTGGCACGCACTTGCTTGGAGAGGACAACCACGTCGTCGGGTATGTTGAGCCGTCGACGCAGCACGGAGTTCTCCTGCTCCAGCTCGTGCATGGCGTTCAGCTCCTGGGTGTAGTTGCGCAGCCGCTTGTCCCGCTCCGCGAGCTTCTGCTCGAGCTCCGAGCAGCGGCGCAATGCCGGCACGAGGCCATCCTCTCCACGTTTATAGGCCTCCAGAGCGCTCAGAGCGTGCAGCGCCTGCTTAGCCTTGAGCACGTTGTCCTGCTCGGTGCTGTCGAGCAGCTCTGAGAGCTGCTTCGAGCGTGCATTGGCGGCGCGAAGGCGCTCCTCGATCAGCTTGCAGCAGGCGTTTGGCTGCTGGGGATTCTTCTTGCCCTCGTGTTGCTCGCGCAGCTGATTCATAACCTTCGTGGAGCTGACCATCTCATCCGACATCGATTTCAGTTTGCCTTCCAGAGATTCGATCCGTTGCTCGCGTAATTCCAGCAGCTGAAAAGGAATTGAGAGCTTTAACTAAGAGTTGTGAACAATTTTCTGTGCGCTCACATGTCGTAGATGAGTTTCCTCCTCGCGGGGGCTCTGCTTACTGCTGGGCGTGGAGTCCGATGTGCTCTGCCCTGAGGTCGTCTGCTCTAACTTCTTGCGCATCTGTTCCAGTTCTTTGTCCTTTTTGTCTAGCTGCTGCCTCCAGCTGACCACTTGATTTTCATACTTATCCAGGAACTGACGCATTTCCAGATCCTGTTTCTCGCGCTCCTCCTCGAGGAAAGTGACGTTGCCCTCGAGACGTGCGATTTCCAGGCTCTGCTGCTGCTCGCGCTGCATAAGCGACTTGCGCTCCTGCTCGACCTTCGTGATGTCCTGCGAGAGCTGCTGCAGGCTGGCCCTTATCTGCTGCAGCTCCTGCTCGTGCAGCACAATGGTCTTGGACTGCGCGATGTTCTGGTTCTGCAGTGTCTGCACGAAAAGAAGGCTGTTATTTGGAAATACTTTGGCTGAGGATCAAGTGAGTCTCATACGTCGATTTCGCGTAGAAGCCTTTTGATATGCTTGTTCTTCGTCTCGATGTTGTGCAGCAGGTGCTCCTGCTTGTCCAGCTCGGAAAGTGGATCCGACGAGTCCTTGTCGCTGGCGTCCGCCTGCTGTGCCGCCTGCCTCAGCTGCTCCTGCTGTTGCTTGAGCTCCGCAGCCAGCTTCCGATAGAGCGAATATATTTTCGATCAGGCCAACAGACTGAGAGTGAGTGAGCACTTACCTCCTTGTTCTTGATCTTCAGTCCGTCGCGTTCGTTCTCCAGCTTCTGCACCATGCGCTTCAGCTTCTCGTTCTCATCCTGCAGGCGCTTCTCGTCGCTCTGCTCAAACTTCTGCGCCAACTGTCCCTTGTACTCCAACACGGCCAGCGTCAGCTCCAGCGTCTTGCGCAGCGACTTCTTGGGGAGCTCCTCGATCGAGTCCGTCAGCTCCAGCAGCGTCTCATACAGCTCATGCTTTTGTCGCGGGGTGAACTCGCGGAACTTTCGCACAGATACAGTCTCTGGTATCTCCATGCTGGCTCATGCCTAATTCCGATCCGCGTCCCGTTCAGCTTGCGTGCGATTTGGCGGTTTGTTGCGTTCTGAGCGAATGAAAATTTTTCGATTCGATTTGCCACAAAGTGCTCACAGTGCTCACAGTGCTCACTTTTCATTATCCAAGTTCGATTTGCTTGGGCTCAGCTGTTGCCATGACAGCTGCGTCAAAACACACCAGCTCTGGCTTCTCGTTCGGATTTGGCTCGGAGTCTCGGGGGTTGTTAACTGATTCACGTGCTGGAAATGAAGCGGAAACGGCAGTGCCGCCGCCTCTGTAGCCACCCGCGTTTGTTTTTGTTGGCATTTTGTTTTGCTACCAGTTTCGGTTGCTTCACACACACGCAGACGCACACACACTGCACACACACATGAGCAAATCTATGGGGCGCACAAAGTTTTCTGACAGGATAATTGCTCCTACGAATGGGCATTCCCCGCTTGGGGCCGCGTCGCAGCTATAAACAATTGCAGGTAACCAGGAAAGTGTTAATTGGCAAAGCGTCAGTGTCAGTGTCAGTGTCAAGGCGAACCGTGAATTGAAAACCCATTTCGAACTGTAAACTTATAGTCCAGACTTTCCCTTTGCTCATCGACGTCTAAGCGCTCTATCTACCTCTCTCTCTCTCTCTCTCTCTCTCTATCTTTTCCTTTCTGTATGACAGGTCGTTGAGTTGGCGTAACAATAGCTGTACAGTTGTCAGATTTACATTTGTCCATTCGTATAATTGAAACTAATGGCAAACGACTTCGGTTACCCCCAATTTGTGGATTCCCGCCCTATGTGAACAGTCGCACTTGCCAGCGAAGCCCAAAAAATGAAATATCATTTACAGGCCAATTATCACGAATAGTCTTATACATATGTTGAAATATCACAAAGCTGATGAAATCCGGAGCTCATTCCTGTTTTACTCTGAAATATTTCCATAACCGAAATAAACTTAGTTTACATTTAAGAATTACCTCAAATATAAGAGTATAAATATAAAGAAAATTGCTTAATTATTGTTATAAAACATGATACTTTGCCTTTCGTTAAAGAATCGAATTGGATTGTCTAATAAAAATATATAATTCAAATTGAGTATAGTATAGTATATTATTAGTATTATATTATATATTATATTATATATTATATTTTGCATTAACACTAGACGATTAGGTTCCACTACGATTAGAGCATTTACCTGCTTAATATCTATATAGATACAACGATTTCGTAATGGCTAATCTGAACATCTATTTCAATCTTTTTGAGAGCTGTACAGCATGAATCCTATACATATACATTAGGAAACTCTAAAACCCCATTGTATAATAGTTAGAACTGCTTAACACCGTCGGTTTTGTCAGTTATTTGCGCATCACCTTGAAATGATATTTAACGCCCATTATGGGCATGAACTAGTGAACAGAGAGCGAATCGAATTGGGTTGACGTTATTTAAGTAAACACAGTCGGTGCCTTAATTGTCAGACCTCCCCAAGCTGCACATGCATCTTGCCAATACTTCAATAATTATAATTATAATTTCAATAGTTAACTTAACTGTTGTGTGCTGTGGTCTAAGCTTAACTAAATGATGATATATATGTTTTTGTAAATAGATCCTCACGCGCCCGCTTTAAAAACATATTTATGTATGTACTCACGTTTATGATTCATTCATTAAGATATGTATAAGTTCGACTAGGCTAAACTTGTAGAAACACATTTTAAGACATGCTTTAAGACATGCTATATACGTCGACACTTCGACCTTGACTATGTTCGCCATGCATCTTCAACTGAGACAGAACTTTAATAGACAGCTATATTTATACTACCAGAGTCTCTTAAAAATTCAAGACAAAAAATAATTTGTAATCTCTCTTAGTAATTGCTCTCAGCTGTAATGTTCTCTTTAACTCATTAGAACCCATAATTTTAATAGCAGAATATCATTTATGTTCATGTTTATTTAAAATTGCTATATAAAAAACTACTTAATTTTGGTTAACTAGAGCTTGGTCCAAAATTTGAAATACGTAACAATCTGTTTAAAGAATACTATACAAAATTAGTTAAGCTATATAAAAAAGATGGTCTTTTTACAAATTAATGACACAATTCACATCATAGCTGTTTCTCGTCAATTATTTTGCTTATTAGTACAGTACAGATATCTGTGAGTCGGAGAACTAATCATTCGATAATCAAGTTTTATATGGATAAACATTAATAGAAATAGTTTATTGTAAATCTATAATGAAAAGAAATAATAAATAATTATATTTCTTTTCTGTTTGTTGTAAATTTTCCGACTGGTGTAACTTTGTTCTCATATGTAATCACCCACACAGATTGGACAGATCATCCTTGTTGTTCTTGGCATCCAATTGTAATAGCATAAACTCATAGTACACCAATGTCGTCATCATCTACAATAGATCTTACATTGCTGTTTGTATATTTGAAAACAGAATCAAGGGCAACACTCACACCAAAGAAACTCCTGCGCGTCAGATGAAACAGACCCAAGCCGGAGAGTCCTATGTAGTGACTGCCCAGCTGATGGCTGAAACGCTGCACCTCCGCGGTCCAGTGTTCACTAGACACCATGGAGAGGGCCGTCAGAGGTAGCAACGAAGCTTCGTGAATTTTTGAGGCGCAGATGAAAACGGCGCAGGTGCGACACAGCAAATAGAGCAAACTGTACCAGTAGTAGGCGTAGTTGATGGGATAATGGAGCTTACTGTAAGCCAATTAAGTAAATATGTATAAGTTAAATACTTTTCAGACGAAGTGAAAGAAAGCACTTACGTAAATATGGTCAACAGCTTATTGCATATAAAGTAGATGTTGCTCAAGCAGGAGATCAAAACGATATTCGACATATTAGCCTCAACCAAATCCATGAGCTCACACAAGAGTATGTGATGCATGCGTATTTCATGCCACTCGACATCAGGCACATACTGAATGCAGGGCAATTTAAAGTGGGAAAGCAAAATGAAAGATGTAACAAGATTGCTATGGACGTGACTGCCCGAGTAGGAGAGATACTGGGCCCTGTATACAAATATACATATGTAGTCTATAATTGTTAATTTTGTGTGGGAATGAGGTTAAATAAGCTATCCAACACCCGAACTTAATACGAACTTATACAGAAAATTGTTCTTCAAGTCTAACGAACAAGCTTTCAGGATTAAAATACAAAATATCGATTTTTATCGATTTTAACGAAACCATATGACTTATCGAATGTCATAAAAGGAGATATTTTGTTAATGGTTAGTCTGTAGCGTTTTATGACGAATAGACGGCTTATGGGCAAACAGACAGTAAAACGGACTGCCTTGAATGCTGGATGGTAGATTGAATTGATTCAGAGTATGAATACATACATATTTTATAGGTTATTTTATGGGCTGCTCAACCCCAATTAAACATATTTGCAAGAGCTCATTCTACTTCCTTTGAATGGTTAATACCATTTATTATTTTTTGTATTTTTTACCCGTTCGACGGCATTCAAAACGCGCGTGGCCATCTGCTGAAATCGTTGGGATAAGCCAAGGCTTATCAAAATTATAAACGTGTCCATGAAGTTGCAGATCAAAGTGAATGTGCCATTCAGAAACTGTGAACAAACAGGTCTCATTACTATCATTTGAGTGATCCAACTTGAGTCAGACCTACAAAGGCATAGAATATAAAGATGTAATTGTAGGGCACCAATTCGAAAATATCGGCGAATTCCTTCATCATGTACTCCTTAAAGGGTATCTGAGTAGCATTCGGTTGACATCTCATAATTTGTATTCGAAAATTAGTATAGCTCGATGCGTAATACAGCCAATGCTCCACTATGAAAAACACACCACTGTCTTGAATAAATTCTTAGTATTCTAGGTTACATGGTGGCTTACGCAGTGTCAGACATCCCACAGAGCATCCAGCGATAAGCAACTTCCGTCGAAGACTATATTTCATTTTTTCATATGGCGGGAAGAGCATTATAATGTCGATGCCGGTCCAGGGCACAATCAGGCGAGACCAACCGCGCGCCAAAGAAATAAAACTCACACAGATTACCATTCCACTCGTAAAGAAAACGACGCTCACTGTTGAAGAATAGAAACTCATTAATTAAGATAGACTCTTAAACTCTATGGATTCTAATCATCAATGGGTTATACTGCCACTTACCTATATTAAATATTACAAACTTAAATATATTAAAAGACAGCAACATAGATTTGATAAGAGCCCTTAGCACACTTATAAATATGGAATACGATTTCCTGACTTACCCATGCTCTTGGCATTTAGGCCGCCTTGAATAAGTTTTGTTGCTAAGCGCATGGTCTTCACGCCTCCTAGCAGAAGAAACAGCACTGACAAACAGGTGGCATATGAGCGTAGCTGAAATTGAACCCGGTGAGGACTTCGACTGAGCACATTTGCCAGCGGCATCATGCCAAACACCTGGGCCAGGCACAAATCTGTACAAAGAGCCGAGTGAGACGTGAGGTTCTTTCGAGTCACAAAGTCTACCCACATGGCCGTACGGCACGATGGAATGTGTCGAGCTGCTCCAAGTCCTCAGCATTGGCAGCGCAGCGCCACTTTTTCTCAACTGCGGCGCGTCGCTGCCTCCGCTTCGCCTTCAACAGGCTCAAAATGTTTCGATCGCATTCGAACGGATGTTTAAGCACAGAGTGCCGCATGTTGACTAAGGGCCTACTCAGGCGCCATAGACATGCACAGGGCTTTTCTCATTAGCTCCTAATTATTGTTTACAGCAACCAACTCCCACGCAGCGCGTGTTAACTGCGTTTTTAAACTGCAATTTCCCTTGGCCAGAGTGACCAGCAGTTCTAAAAATACATTTCCCGGTGGAGGCCCGCATAGACGCAGGCGCTCCGGGTCAGTGCTCAAATGGCCAGCGACATGGACGGACAGGCCGGTTGGAAATTGCGGCAAACCCCGAATACTTTGGCCAAAAGCACCCAGAATAAGAATTCAGATGAGGACAATTTCGACTTTCGTGTCATAAAGAGTGAGACAACCACGGACTATGCTCAATTGGATCTATTTCATCGAGCCGCTTCTCCCAGTAAGTAGCGTTATTTGAATATATATAATAGTTCACATATGATGGAAAGACATATCGCGTGCATTTTTATCCAATATTTGTCCGTTGAAACAAAATACTTTTCATAGAATTTAAATTCATGTCATAGCTGAGATAAATGGCTAGGATTAGGCAGTATAATTACTGCCCCTAACTTTTATCGAGTTGCCCTTTCCCAGCTCTTGAACTGGTTAATTAAAAGCAATATACATTTACAGAGCTTAAATACTCTCAGCTGTATAGCTGTGTTAAGATCATTCATGGTACTCCTTTATGTATATACTCTTGGATATCCTCATGCTTTGATTTTCTGGACATGCCCCATAGGGATTTAGCAAATGCTATTTCCGGTATCTCAGAAATGCCTGTATTCAAAATGAGAAAGACATGAGAACCTAAGAAAAAAAGTTTTTATCGGATTCATCTTAGCTCAAAGCAGTGTTTTCTAATTAATGTCCTAAAAGAAAAGTTTTCAAAGATACGGATAGGTTATTATTAACCTTATCTGTTGGGTTGGGGCGTGAAATACCTTCTAACTTGAATCTTTTTGAGCGAGAGCCCCACTTCAGTTGTGTTTCATCCGTGAATGAGTACTCTGCTGTCGGTAGCGGCACCGTTCTTAATCGGGTCTTTGTTTTTCTCTATATATGACTCTATAGTCATGCTGTTGGGTCAGTGCTTTGCCATAATGCCACTGACTGGCATCAGGAAGGCAAGTCCGCGGCACGTGCATTTCCGCTTCAAGTCGGTGCCGATGATTGTGACCGTGATTTTCATGATGGCCAGCTCGGTGCTAACGCTAAGCATGCTGAAGTTTCTGCTCAACATAGGCGTTACGGCAAAGAATTTTGGTTGGTATTAGCCAAGGAGAGAAGGAGGACGAAACCAGAAACTCATGTCATTTCGCTGTTGTTTAGTGGGTCAGGTGTTCTTCACCTGTGTGCAGTGCGCCTGCATTCTATTCATCGACCTGGCGCGCCGCTGGCCGCCTCTGATTCGCTACTGGACACGCCTGGAGCTAATCTTCACCAAGGCCCCATACGAGGTGCTCAACAGGAGCTTGTCACAGCGCGTGCGACAACCTGCACTTATTATAATAGCCTTGTCGCTGGGTGAGATTTAGATAAAGACCACGAGCTCCTTTAATTTTCTTCATAATGCGTTGTTTTTCCCATTTCAGTGGAGCATAGTTTGTATCTGGCCTCTGCCATCGTCAGCTATAAGCAGCGCGTCAAGTACTGTACGCAAAATTACAATTCAACCATGGACGTGTCCTTTGACGGTTACGTCAAATTGAACTACGATTATGTGTTTATACTACTGCCCTACACTAGATTCTTAGGCGTCTATGTTTTGGTAAGCCATTCGGATACTCCTACATATTTATTTAACTTTACTATAATTTACTATACTATACTAGATGAAGAGGAAAGGGGTGATGTTGAATAGGCTATTGATTATTTTATTTACTTGTCTTAAGGCCATCAAAGCGAAACCCTGTGATATCTCTAACTTCCTGCAGGTGGTAAATGGCACCTGCACCTTCATATGGAACTATATGGATCTATTCATAATGATGATCAGCCGGGGCTTGGCCTACCGCTTCGAGCAGATTTCGAAGCGGATTCGCCGACTGGAGCATGAGGATCGTGTGCCGGAGACGACATTCATGGAGATCCGTGAGCACTACGTGCGCATGTGTGAGCTCCTGGAGCGCGTGGACAATGCTCTGTCCAGCATCATTTTGTTGTCCTGCGCTAACAATTTGTACTTCGTGTGCTGTCAGCTGCTCAACATATTCAAGTGAGTAATCAGAGCATGATAATTTGATCTGCATCGAAGCAAAAGTCTCCTCCCATCTCTTATATCTAGTAAGTTACGCTGGCCCATCAATTACGTGTACTTCTGGTACTCCATGCTCTACCTGGTGGGTCGCACGGCCTGCGTGTTCCTCACGGCAGCCACCATCAACGACGAGTCGAAGAGCGCGCTGAGCGTGCTGCGTCGCGTCTCCAGCAAGAACTGGTGCGTGGAGGTCGAGCGGCTCATATTCCAGATGTCCACGCAAACCGTTGCCTTGTCCGGCAAGAAATTCTATTTCCTAACCCGCAGGCTGCTCTTTGGGGTGCGTACAGCTCTGGTGCTTATTTTGCATTTCTAAATAACTGCCCCTCCGTTCAGATGGCTGGCACTATAGTTACCTACGAGCTGGTGTTGCTGCAATTCGACGAGCCCAACCGCCGCAAGGGCTTGCTGCCCCTGTGCGCCTGAATGGAAATGGCAACAGCAATTACAATTTGTCATGCCGGCTGACAGTCGGCCACATTTATCTTTCAATTATTGTAAATACCGGCTGCTAAATTGTTGAATTCAAAAAAAGAAAAAGAAACGCAGACACGCCTCCACTCATTGCCTGCACCTAAAGCTCTCGCGGAATTCGTGTACAGTCAGTAAAAGGCCATGCCGCAGGGTGAAACGTTCCATCGCGCTGTTTCCCAAGGTACGCGCCTACTCCCGCTGCTTCTCCCGCTGCTGCTGCTGCTGCTGCGGCTGCGACTTGGTCAGAGATTAGCTTTGTTTAAATTTCCCATTTCCCAGTGCTCTTTATATCACAGGCTTATGCTCTGCTGCCCGTGAGCAACATACGCTCCGTCGATGTGAACCAGATTCGATTCAAATGGCGGAGTCCACGCGTATTTTACTCGGCCATCATTCTCCTACTCAACCTGTGCGAATTCGGTGCCGTCTTGAATCATGTCAGCAGCGTCGGCGTCACCTTCCACACGTCCAGCTCGCTGGCACTCTACGTCGTTTGCCTGCTGGAGCACCTGTTCTTCTGGAGATTGGCGTTCCATTGGCACAGCATCATGCGCCACTGGCATCGCGTGGAGCAGCTCTTCCTCAGCGTGCCCTATCGCTTCTACGGCGAGTACAACATGAAGCGGCGCATCAATATCGTTGTGGGCCTCGTTATGTCATCTGCACTGGGTGAGCTAGCGATGGAGTAGATGCGTATGGGTACAGTATCTGTTGTTACAGTGGAGCACTGCCTGCTGCTGGCCAACTCCTGCCACCTAAGCAACCTGGAGCGCACGCAATGCAACATTAATGTCAGCTACCTGGAGAGCATCTACAAGTGGGAACGACCGCATCTCTACGAAATACTCCCCTACCACGTCTGGCTGCTGCCCCTGCTTGAGGTGATTCTCTCGAGTGACAGTGAGGGTGCGGGCTCATTTTTGATTTACTTTCAGTGGATCAATGAGACCATCGCCTATCCGCGCTCCTTCACCGACTGTTTCCTCATGTGCATTGGCATTGGGCTGGCCGCACGTTTCCATCAGCTGCACCGCCGCATCGCCGCCGTGCATCGCAAGGTGATGCCTGCCGTGTTCTGGACAGAGGTGCGACAGCATTATTTGGCCCTGAAGCGTCTAGTGCGTCTGCTGGACTCTGCTGTAGCTCCACTCATACTCTTGGCCTTTGGCAACAACATGTCATTCATATGCTTTCAGTTGTTCAATACTTTCAAGTGAGTCAATGGGGATCCTTACATGTAGCTAGACTTATAATTCGTTTGCCAACAGAAACATTGGTGTGGATCTCATTGTCATGGTGGCCTTCTGGTATTCGCTAATCTTTGCCATTATTCGCACGACGCTAACCATATTTATCACCTCCTCAATAAACGAATTCGAGCAGAAAATCATTACAGCCCTGCGTGATGTGCCCTCAAAGGCGTGGACCCCAGAGGTAATCCATTCGTATATTCACCCACTTCCGAAATCCCTTCCTTGATAGATTTCTTGTGTCGAGCAGGTTCAGCGCTTCAGCGAACAGCTAGGCAATGACATGACCGCCTTATCAGGCAACGGATTCTTCTATGTCACTCGGCAACTCGTGCTGTCTGTAAGTGAGGGGGTAAATCATTCAAATCTCTGTGGATTCACAGACTCTTCGCTTTGCAGATGGCCACAACGATTATCACTTATGAGCTCATGATATCGGATGTCATTAACCAGGCAACGATAAGGCAAAGAACCGTCTACTGCTGAAACTTAATAAAATGCACTATCCCCTATTTCCCTAGTGGGCGCCCCACTGAGAAAATGTACCATGATATTTGTATTATTGATAAGCTAGCCAACACTCAGAAGCAGTTTGAAATGTCATGCCTGTCCATTCAGATCTTAACTGCGAATGCATTAATAAACATCCGTCATACGCCCCGTTGTACACAATCGCTTGGCGATTGCAATCGCCACAGAGCTGAACGAATCTTTTTTCGCATGTCCACTTGCCAGTCCAGTAAACAGTCAAGCAATGGAGCAACGCCGACAGAGGTGCAATAAAAACACGCTCCAGCACGCCATTGGGCCCTGTAAGTAGCACTCAATGAAACTAGCATTTCCTGATAAAATAATGCTTATAGTACGTGTTTAATTGAAGGTTAGTTTAATCAATTATGGGCATGATTCTTTTAATATATACTACCAAATTACTGTGTACTACCAAGTTACTATATGATAGCTTCATTCACTAGAACTAAAGTTCGAATTTCACGAACCTTTAATCTTAGAAACACTCACTGTAAAAGACTCCTTTGTGAAAATGTAATGAACTATTTATACTATACCCAAATATTGTATATAAAATATATTATTATCATTCCCAAAGGAAATACGAAAAAATCTCAGTTAGACCACATGAAATTTCAAAACCC